GACAAAAGTTATTGCAAATGTTTATGTTGGTTGTATTAAATTTATTATGGTATATAACTGTCTTTATTTTTTTTTACTGGGATCAGTAGGGTATATATTAGTTTCTTTAGGATTTTTTCATTTTATTTTTAGTTAGAATGTACTTGATTACGGTCGGGATTCAACATTGGCGGCTATAACCTTAAGATACACAGATGACGCATTACTGATAGCAGACACGGAAAAGTAATTACAAAACCTCCTGCAGAAGGGAGCAAAGGAGAGCGAGAAGAAGGGACTAAGCATAAACTACAAGAAGACAGAATGCCGGATCATCAGTAAAAGGATGAGCTCGAAATGCGGTTTGCAAGTCGGGGACTCTAAAAGCAAGCAGGTGCGGAATTTTAAATACCTAGAAAGTGTTTTGACAGAGGACGGTAAGTGCGACACTGATATCTGTAGACGTATTGGGATGGCCAAGAACGCATTCCAAAAGCTTGGCAGGGTATTGCGAAACAATAAGATTTCTTTAGCAAGAAAATGGCAGAGGATTTCTTTGGCAAGAAATCTGTTCTCCTTTAGGGCAAGGAATACTGGATAGTCTCCTCAAAGATGAAGAATAGACTCGAGGCGACGGAGATGTGGTTCTACATAAGGATGCTAAGGATATCATGGGCCGAACGTGTAAGCAACGATGTGGTTTTGGAGAGGATGCAAACAAGGAGGTGGCTTATACTTAATATCAGGAAGAGGCAGCTGAGGTTTCTGAAACATGTAATGAGAAAGGAAGGCTTGGAGAATGTGATACTCACAGGTTGAATAGAAGGAAAGAGAGACAAGGGAAAACAACGCATGACATCCCTGGCAGGCTTAAGCAAGTCAATGAGAGAACGTGATCTGCGGGAGATGGCAGAAGGACGAAACATTGAGAGCTTCAAGGGATAGGGATAAGTGGAGAGCCATGATCACTTACGTCCTGAAAGGACATGGCAAATAAAAAAGAAAAGAAGTTTGATATGTTTAGGGTTATTCGAGAAAATATGTTCTTTTTGGTTTATGTTAATATTTCTAACAGCTCGTCTAATTTGTTAATCAACAATATAATTAGGTAAGTCATTATTAATGAGAGTTTCTTGTAGACGTCTTCTCTTACTCCGTGTCCTTTCGGGTCATGGGTGGTCATGGCTCTCCGCAAAATCCTATTCTTCTTTCTAGCTGTTAACAAGGTTTGTCTTTTTATTATCCCTATCCGTAAATAAGTATATTACTCACTGATTCCATTTGTCCCTCTGGCCTTCAATATGCCCTGTGAGTGTCACATTTTCAAATAAATCATAATCTATTAGGAAAATCTCAAGAAATGTTGTTTGATATCGATTATTTGTAATCATATTTTTCAGTGTTACTCTCTCTTCATATATATTAGTGAGAGAAAAAACAAGAACAAAATCTATTCCATACCTGAGGATGTCTGTATGAACAGACGAAAGCTTGTAAAAATAATAAGAACACATGCAACAGGAATTTATAGAAACAAGGATCTTTTCATTCATAAACAGGTTCGGGGCTTTTGTATATTATTTGAATTGTTCGCGACGATGGATTTCTCGCCAATTAAATCATTAACCTTTGTATTTGTTTTTTGTATGAATAATTCATGAATTTGTAAATTAATTGCACCTTTATTGAAATTAAAATAACTAATCCAAATGCAACTTTTGGATAATAAGTGCGACATTACTGTAATTATTGAACAATAAAGTTCATGCCACTTTGGCAGAAATTTTACCAGTAAAAAAGAATTCGCTTATCACCATATTTGTATAAGGACGCACAATTGTAAAATTTAAATTCAAACTCAGCGTTGCGACAGCACGCTCCAAAAACAATAACTCATTTCTAATAGCCTTTTTCGGATTACAACAGTACATATATTTTCGTTGTCCTCTTATTACTGAGAGAAAAAACAAGAACAAAATCTATTCCATACCTGAGGATGTCTGTAGGAACAGACGAAAGCTTGTAAAAATAATAAGAACTCATGCAACAGGAATTTATAGAAACAAGGACCTTTTCATTCATAAACAGGTTCGGGGTTATTGTATATTATTTGAATTGTTCGCGATGATGGATTTCTCGCCAATTAAATCATTAACCTTTGTATTTGTTTTTTCTATGAATAATTCATGAATATATATATATATATATATATATATATATATATATATATATATAGTTTGGTTTTAATGTATGCTATATTTATGGTTAAAAATGGTCAAATTATTAGCGATAGAGCGTACTCAAATGAAAACCGAGTGATAACAGTCTGTTCCATGGTTGAGCGCAGTTTTGGCCGTAAGGGTGTCTTCGAACATGAAACAAACTGTCGCCACTCGGATTTGATCTGTGTCCACTTTTATATATAATCCGTTCGAAGTTAATATGCAAATCACATAACTCAAATTAGATTTGAACAGTTTTTGTCAGATTTTAAACTTCCACTGTCTCTTGATATTTTCAGCCCATGATCCCTTTGTCAGCCCATATTTCCTGTCTGCCTCTGCTGATATTTTCAGCCCACCTTTCTTGTCTGACTCTTCTGATATTTTCAGCTCACCTTTCCTCTGTCTGGCTCTTCTGATATTTTCAGCCCACCTTTCCTCTGTATGACTCTTCTGATATTTTCAGCCCACCTTTCCTCTGTCTGACTCTTCTGATATTTTCAGCCCACCTTTCTTCTATCTGCCTCTTCTGATATTTTCAGCCCATATTTCCTCTGTCTGATTCTTCTGATATTTTCAGCCCACCTTTCCTCTATCTGCCTCTTCTGATATTTTCAGCCCATATTTCCTCTGTCTGATTCATCTGATATTTTCAGCCCACCTTTCCTCTCTCTGACTCTTCTGATATTTTCAGCCCATATTTCCTCTGCCTCTTCTTTTCCCTCAGGTGGAAGGATTATTGACTTTGACGTGGCTATATCATTCTAACTTCCTCTTCTTGACCATGATTATGAGGTCTTCCAATGTTTATAATGTCTCGCACTGCGTCAATAGTGATGCAGTCTACCCAGGAGATCCATAGAATATAGTAGATCATTTCTAATTCTTGAAGATTTTTTTTCACTGTCATGCAACGCTAAGAAGTTTATTGGTATTTTAAATGAAGTTTTCTGTTACTTGCGCCTTACCAATGTTATTAGTTGTAGTAGCAATAAAAATAAAGTAGTTAACGTTAATATTCTTATTCGTTGTAGTAGTTTAATAACATACCTGCAATTATTATCACCGCCAATTACTCTTCAGCAGTGGTGTATAAAAAATCAAACGTAAATGTCACGCGATAAACTATTTTTTATTATCCTTTTAATTTGATAAATAATATTTCATTTATTATTAATGCGATCAGTTCATTTATTGTTCATAAATGGTCTGCTGTTGAGCAGCAACTCTTAAAACCTGTTCAGTTGGCTGGTTTTCATCTAGAGAATTTGCAATACTTTTGAGAATATAGTAGTGTGATAGGGCGATGATAGCCAAGGTCTTTATATTTTCACATTTTTTAATAAAGTAAAATTAATCTTTCTACACTGTTGTGGAATTCGTCGCATGCATCATTCAAAAGGTCTGTTGCTATGCCATATTCACTTACTGCTTTTACGTACTTCGTATTTCCAAGCTTAAATCTTTTTTTAATCCCTTGTTACTTCAGAATTATCACTAGCATCTGCTGGAATGGCTGTCGGATTACATTTTTTGTTGAAATATAAAGTTTTGAATAGAAGACTACGGTCATTTTTGTTGGCATATTGTCTGAATGTTTGATAATTTCCCTAATTTTGTCTTTCAATGCAAGAAATTATTATTGATTTATCTGCGTTGTGGATCGAACATATTTCAAGCTATTCCCTTTTTTGATCGTATTTTCATTTGCTGCCAAGTTCATCTTTCTTTTATCATGTCTCATTTGTTGATCATTCTGCGTTTTCAGTTTTATCTCAATTAATAATTAAGATCATATTTCTTTTCTTGTTCATATGTTCCAGCGTTGAGTGTTTGAAATAAAATAAAAATGGGACGTTTATTACAAATACGATTATCCATTATACTAAAGTCTGAAGTAATATATATATATATATATATATATATATATATATATATATATATATATATAAAAAAAGAAAAATCGAGTTGAAATAGAAGAATAAGCAGTCAGTTACTGTTACCCACTGAAGCGTAGGCGGACGGGTGCGTCTACGAATCTCTGGAGTGGGAATTATGAAGGTAACATCAATCAGCTCAGTGACAAACCTTCTATATATATATATATATATATATATATGTGTGTGTGTGTGTGTGTGTGTGTGTATGTGTGTGTGTGTGTGTGTGTTTATTTTTATTTATATTTTAATTTTTTGGTTACGATATACTTACAAGTAACGGAAGACTTGTTCATCTCTCTCTCTCTCTCTCTCTCTCTCTCTCTCTATATATATATATATATATATATATATATATATATATATAACCTTGTAACATTATAACATTGTATAACATTGGTGTCGACGGAATAAATTCCAAAAACCAAAATTACTATTCTTAAAAAAGTGCTCAATACAGAATAGATGCTATAAAATGTTTATGTTATAATTTTTGAATATATAAATGTATATATATACGTATATATATAGATAGATAGATAGATAGATAGATAGAAGGAGAGATAAAGAGGGTCAAAAAGACTTCCGTTACCTCTAAGTATATCATAATCCAAAAATTTAAATATAAATAAAAATAAAATCTTATATATCTAATAAAGTTTATTCCAAATATTAAAACTTAGAACCACAAATATATACAAGAGAAATAATATACAAAACACTAAATGCATGAAGAATAAATAATAAATAAATATATCAAAATACACAATCTGAATGCTATGCCCATAAAATCAAACCACAAGACTCTTCGAATTAATAAACAATATTTTCCTGAATTAAATCAGGGGGGTGGCAATTGAACCATGTATTATAGAGAACCTAATATTAGTAGCTTATATTCGATATACTTCGCCCCAACTGCTGAACCTTACCCACAAGTGCATATCATATTCGTTCTGTTTCGTGTGGCATTTCTTTCTTTGCACGTTTTCTTTCGGCTTTAATCCTAATTCGACTTAATGAAGACTTAGAAATTCGATATGGAAGAAACCGTAGAAGACTCGACGGAAGACAAGCATTCAAGACAGGCTTTGTGGCTAAAAATATAATACTGACTATAAAGCCGATTTGTAACAATATGGCTTTAAAATGATTAAAAGAAGAAAGAGAAACATTAATATTAAATGATGAAGAAATGATAAGTTTTGAAAAAGAAGAAAACACGAAAATGGACGGTAGAAAAAAATAGCTGTTAAAAAAATTATGACAGGACACATAAACAGAAACTAAAATGAAGAAAAACAAACGATAGCAAAATTAAAAATAGATTTCGCGCCCTGAACACGTCACATGAAACGATAAAAGTGTCCATTTGTTGACCTCCTTACGTTGTCTCGTTGTTTCTCTATTCAAAGTCGATCTAACAACATAGCTGTTTGATAAACGGATAAGGTCTTCCATCGCTGTGGACAGATGGCGATGCGAAACACCAGGTCACATGATGCAAGGGGGCGTTCGACCAAGAGTCCGTGCGTTACCTCAGCAACGGATACCTAGTTAACGATGACGCACTGGAGACGATGATTTATCGCATGTGCAGCAGAAAGGACATTGATGATTTGAAATTGGCATATTAATCGGAAGAAGTCGTTACATTTTGTCTCTTTAGTTTTTCTTTTTACTTGACATTTATTTCTATTTTATGAGCATTTGTCTTCATAGCCTCGTTCGGAATTATCATCATCATCATCACCATTGTCAACATCAACATCAACAACATCATTGTCGTTATAATTTATTTTATATTTTTTATATATTTCCTTTTCACTGTATTTTTCGCCATACTTACTAATTTTACCTAATTTTTAGGTTATTTTTGCACGATGTTAATTATAAATTTTCATATTATTATTATCATTATTATTGAGTGAGTGAGAATTGTACACCAACAATGTGACGCTGTGGCACAAATATATGAATCCCAATAATTTATACTAAAGTTCACCCAATACAAATGACGATACAGGCTTCTGATCAGGAGGTTTTGAGGAGCGTGGAACCAGTGACCCAGGGTGGTAGCACCTGTTACGGTCCCAACTATGGGAAAATTGCTAACCTACAATCTGGAAACACCAACAATTAAGAGGTGGTTCCACGCTATACTATAAAAGTATAAAAATACTTGCTTATAATAAAAATACCAACAATATGTTTTTTTAAAAAGAATATTACCAGCAATACATTTTGAAAAATCTTTTTACTAGCAATGAAAACATATTCTATTCATACGCGCCAATCCTAAAAATCTTGTCGGCATTAAATAACCCATTGAGGTTGATATGTCGTAAAACAAACCTGACTTGACTAACCCAATACGAAGCACGAGAGCCGCTCAAGGTAGAGAGTTACTTTCAAAATGTTTATGATGAATAGGAGGGAAAGTGAGAACGGTAAGACAGTAAATATCACGAGGACAAAGACGACAGATAAGATAATGCTTGACCCTTTGTATTCAAGAATGTATCTGCACGGGAGTTTCTTCCAAGATGGAGCACTTTTTTGGAGAAAAGCAGTCTGGATGGAACTTTCTTTACATTTGGAATGCGGGGGAAATGAGGGTGATTCGATTCCGTGGAAGTAGTACGGTGTGTCCTAACAGTAAAGGTTTGAACTGGTAGAACTAAAGAATGGAGGTCATCTAAACATTTGCCATGGAATAAATAGCAATAAAGTAGCGATCTGTCATACTATATATTGCTGTTGGCTTCTCTTTATCTTGGCTTAGATTTTGTCTCCTGGGCATGATGATTAATACATCTGGCAGCAAGGCATCTGATCCGGAAGTTTTGAGAAGCGTGGAACCACCTCTTAATTGTTGGTGTTCCCAGGTCCGCCCTGACACGGGATGATAGCACCTGTTAGGGTCCTAGCTATGGGCATAGTTCGTCGTTGCTTTGAAATTTTTCATGCAACAAAAACAGACTATCATTATTGTTTCGTCCGTGTATTGGTTGATATATTGAAATGAAATTATCATCTTTGATAATGGCTTATGTAAGCCGAAAGCTTAGATTGGATTTAAACATATATCAATATGGTGATTTCCTTTCGTCTTTCAATGATAATGTTATTAAGTTTATCAGACAATATGAAAGGAACTTACTTAAAATAAATAGACAAAAACTTGTCTATATTATATATGAAACATGCAACAATGAAAAATTGCTGCCTAAATATACACAATATATATATATATATATATATATATATAAAGTGAACATTGAAGTCAACACTTAGAGGGGGACAAGCTGTTTCATACTAGACGCAATCGGGGCCTGACGATTGCGTCTAGCATGAAACAGAATGTCGCCTCTAAGTGTTGACTTCAATGTTCACTTTTATATTTACACACGCTCTATCTCTGATATTGAGCACTTTATCCCATTAATATAGCACCCCTTAAAACTATATTTCTTCATATATATATATATATATATATATATATATATATATATATATATGCGTGTGCCTGTGAACAAAAACTGTGTACATAGAAATGAACACTACTTGGTGGCTATCAGTTTTACGTCTTAAGAGATGTGTTACTAGTTTTTGTTCGGTCTCTTTACAATATAAACCACTGAATCCTAATAAATGTCGACGAAGGAAAAA